CGGCGGGGGGGGGGAGGGAGGTGCAGAGAGAGGGTGGATAAAGGCCAGCACGCGGGGCGGAAATAAAGAGAGAACGAAAAAAGTGGAAGAGGTTGGAGGTGGAGGTTGGGTACCGTGGTCCGCTTTAATTGGTTCGACGTGGTCAGATGAAAAATTCAACCACCCACCCATCCCAACCCGTCCCAACTCTTCCTCCACCTCCACCTCCTCCTCCGCGCCGTCTCCACCTCCTATGCTTTCCGCTGTCTTTCTCTCTTTCTACGCGCTATCCCGCGCGCGTATATATCGTTCACTCTCTTTCGCGCCGCCTAAATTCTCACCAGATGAATCTACCGCACATCTACGCGCGCGTCTCCCGATGTCTGCAAGTTTCTACGGATCCAGGGCGAGGAGACAAGTTAAACCGGCCGGCCTCGACCGCCGTCTTCGTAAACACCCTGCAAGCATCGATTCCGCCTCGAATTCAACTACTCCCATTCATTAGCGCGTCTAATGCCGCGAGAATTTCGATTAATCCTGTGAAATCCGTGAGCGTTTGTATACATTCAGTGTAAACGAATACAACTTCTTTCGTGCACAAATAAAAAAATAACGTTCGAGTAACTTGCTTGTCGAAACAAGTAATTAGGTGAACGAAAAAATTTCAATTCTCGAGACACCAATAATTTTGGTAAGAGCGTAACTATAAGCGCACGATTTCTGAAAAGGTCCCCGAGTTATCCGGAATTACTGGATCGAGCGAATTTTAACGATTAATTACGTTCTTCTAGCACCTAGCTAAAGTTAGTTTCCATCATGCAGCAGCACGTGTGTGTCTCTTTCTCTCTCTCTCTCTCTCTCTCTCTCTCTCTCTCTCGCGCGCGCGCGTCATAGCGAAAATTTCGCCATTTAACACGTTTGAGATTTTCCGTCTTCAATTTCATTTCGACCACTATGAAAAATGCACTTTGCCATCCGACACGCTTTTGAAACGTTATTTCACAACGAGCACTATGCTCCGTCGCATTACCGAGACCGCCGCGGGCGCGCGAGGTAGATCCCAGGATTTTATCGGGAATCTTTTTTGCCTCTCCTCCCTTCGCGGCGTAGTAACGCCAGTGACAACGGCCGGGGATGACGATTACGAGAAAATGAGGTCACAGTCAGACATTCAGACGCAATCCCTCCATTTACGCGCGGTGGGAGTAATTATACCAAATAAAGCTGTAATCGAGAATCGGATCACTATTCTCGAAATGTTGCCACCCAGATTATCAAATCGATCTTTTCTCAGTACCGCAGATCCTTGCCGTGCTATCGCATAAATGTAGAAAACAAAATATATATTTCCATTTAAATTAAAATTAATCGCCGATTTTTAAACTTGAGAAATTACCGTAATAATCACTGGGAGTTTTCGCGGGTTTGCAGGGCTGTATATTTTCGATCCGATTTATGTAAGACGGAATGAATCCCCCTTTCCCGCGATATAGCGATTTCATGTGGGGAACCGGCAGCAGCTTTCGTCGCGACGGAAACAGGGCATACGGTTGCTCCTTTGATTAATGCTTCCTCGGGGATGAAGCGAAGGGGTTAGGGAGATAGCGGTAGTGGTGTGCTGAGCTACGACTAATCCTCTCTCGGCGTGCACATGTAGGTACGAAGCTCGACGGCAGTCCTAAGAACCTGAACGTGGACACGAGCGAAAACTCATTTCCGGATGCGTTCCCTACTCCTTACCCCCTCTCACCCCCCCCCTCCCTCCATGCCTCTCTCTCTCTTTTCGTCTTCGTCGGACTCGTGAATTACATACGACCGGATGTCGAGCTCGCGTTCTCAATCAGACCATTCTGCACTCGGGACACGCGTCCGCGATAGCGGCGGATTTCTCAATAAGCACGCAAAAAAGTGAACAGTTTAGCACTGCAATTTTTTCTGATCGATATAAAAAAAATTAATACATCATCGAGCAAATAAGTGGAAGGATTAATTATGAGAAAAACATCGAATGCGAAAAAGATTGTAAAAAAAAAAAAGCAACGCACTCATGAAAATATTTCATTTCGGTACTTGAACGTTTCCGAGCTATTGATGATAAATATTTGTTTCGTGTAAGTGCACTCCACATTGTAATGATTATTTAAAAAAAAATGGAATATATAAATAGAATTCTCCGTACTCTATAATAATTACACATAAATTGTTAATAATATAACGCTATTATTTTGTAATATCATTATATCGTAATGACAATTTTGTAATGTCATTAAAATTGCTTTCCATTTATCGTGACTTTAACTCGCGGCTGCGGGGGAAAATGCGGCTGATGACCGGATCCGTCCGGTGGCTCAACTTCAAACAAACTTCCCCGGCACTCCTGGGGCCGAAGGGATTGCCCGTGTAAACGACGCATCGTTAGTACATCCAGAAAGAAGGGAGGATAATACGAAAGCGTGGTGGAGGAAGGGGGCCGCGGAGGAAGCTTGGTGGCAAGACGCTTAGTCGCCCGCGACTCCTCGATTTTCAACCAGTAGCCTGGCGGCGACAATTGGCCGCGACAACTGCACGACGTTGTCCGAGAAGTAATTTTAACGGCGGCGGTCTGAAGTCATCACAGAACGCGGCGAGGAACCGTTGGGAAATACATTCCTCGATGGTTGAAAGGGCAAATGGACGAAGAAAATACGCCATACTCTTCTGATCTACTTCGGATTATATCCTTTTTTTTTCTTCAATTCGACGTTACATCCAAAGGTATTACTTAACAAAGTCACCTATTATATATCATCAACGTATTTATTTCGTAGATAATTTACTTTCTTCTTCCGTCCGCATACGGAGGGGTGAGTCATGCGATGCGCGAGGACGGTAACTTCATAAGAAATGAGGCATCATTAAATCGTTTAGTTTTTTCCCCTGCCACTTTTTCCTATCATCAACCGTGAAGGAGGTATAACCCGTTCGAATCGCGCGACTCATCCTGTATAATAGATAGCCATCACGTTTCTCAACGATTTTATGACGTCTTTTAAATAAATAATTAATGCAAATCAACGAACACGGTCGCGCGAGAAAGAGAAAAAACATCGGAGAGCGTAAAATCGGAATAGTCAGCGTAGTCGGCCGATGAATTCGCGTTGGAAACGCTCTAATCGGTATACAAAAAAAAAAAAACAGAAGAAACGCGAAGGAAGAAGGAACAGAATCGGAAGAGGCCGGAACAAGATGAAGAGAGACGAAGGGGGGAGAATAAGTGAGGCGGCCGAAGGAGGTAAGGGAGCAGCTGAGAAAAATAATCCAATTTAGTCGGTGCGCGCACGACGACCCGGCTAACTGTTCGCCTGTTTTCACGGTTTTTAATTATACACCCGCCTCTCTTCCCCCCCTGCTCCCTCCCGTCTGAGAGAAATCCCTTTTTCTCTTCTCTCCCCCCCTCCCCGTTCGCGCTCGTGCCTCTCGCGAGGAGCTTTCGCGCGCTTTTTGTCGTTGTGATTCGGGAAACAGAGAAACACACTTCCGTGGGACTTCATCTCGGATAGACGTTAAGCAAAATAGACGATCGCATCCGACTTAACAGACGGAGGAAGGACTTTCTCGCGGGTTATACGGTTCTTGACCGGCCAGGAAGTCAGAGGGGGGGAGGGGGTGAGGTCCTTTTTTCCGCCTTTGCGGCGAACGAGGGTAATCCGATTTCGATGGAAACTTCCGCGACGCATGATTGCATTTGGGATGCTCGCTCCCGCGCCGAGGAAGAGGCCCGACATAGACGGCACGCGAGAGATACTTTCCATCCTCTCTCTTTCTCTCTCTCTCTCTCTCTCTCTTGCTCTTTTTTTTACGGCGAATTCGACGGTTAAGTGGAAGTTAGCATCGACGCGCTCTCCTATCCTCTATCGCGCGGCTCGAACCCGATTCTAAAACTCGGCCCTTTTATTACTCTTACGTTTACTTTCCAGCGATATAACGCACGCGCGCGTTCGCTCGTGCGTCTCTTTATTCTGCCAGCCCTTTGCCTTCTCCCTCGCTCCGATCGCTGAGAGTGTCGGCCGTTTTATCGGCTTTCGACGTCGCTGCAATTAGCATTTTAATTCTCAGCTAAACGCGCCCTCCGCCGTAACGCGCAACTTTTTCGACGCCGAGTCTCTCTCTCTCTCTCTCTCTCTCTCTCTCTCTCTCTCTCCCTCCCTCCTCTCGTACCCCCTGCTGCGAGTTTGAGCTCAAATATTGAATACAGTGTATATTTAATGAATATATGCATTAAAATTGTAGCTTGTACAAGGCGCGAATGGTTT